ATGTAAGGAATGTGGGAAGGCTTTTAATAGTGGCTCAGATCTCACTCAACATCAGCGAATTCACACTGGTGAGAAACCCTATGAGTGTAAGGAGTGTGAGAAAGCCTTTAGAAGTGGTTCAAAACTTATTCAGCATCAAAGAATGCATACTGGTGAGAAACCTTATGAATGTAAGGAATGTGGGAAGACGTTTAGTAGTGGTTCAGACCTTACTCAACATCACAGAATTCATACTGGTGAGAAACCCTATGAATGTAAGGAATGTGGGAAGGCCTTTGGTAGTGGCTCAAAACTTATACAACACCAGCTAATCCATACTGGTGAAAGACCCTATGAATGTAAAGAATGTGGAAAGTCCTTTAGTAGTAGCTCAGCTCTTAATCGGCACCAGAGAATACACACTGGTGAGAAACCCTATGAATGCAGGGAGTGTGGGAAGGCTTTTTGTAGTGGCTCAAGCCTTACTCAGCATCAGAGAATTCATACAGGTGAGAAACCTTATCAATGTAAGAACTGTGGGAAGGCTTATGGGAGGGATTCAGAGTTTCAGCAACATAAGAAAAGTCATAATGGTATGAAACTCTGAATTGGAAACTATAAATTGAAATTATGTGATAAAAGGACTCTAAACATATGACATAAGAAAATTCATAGTGGTGAAAAGCTCTACAAATAGAACTAAGGTACAAATGCCTTACTTATGCTTCACAGGTTTGTCAGTCTAAGAAAATTTATACAAGAAAAAAAAAATCCCTGAATAAGATAAATATTTGAAGATCCTTATCTATATTCATTACTTTGTTACTTTTGGAAAATTCATACTTGTGAATGTTAAAATTGAAAAAAAAAAAGCATTTATTGTATTTGCCTCTATTTTAAACATTGGAAAACTCATTTCTGGGTTAACCCTGCTATACTTTTTAAATGGTCTTTTTTTTATTATATAGAATTACTGATTCATCTCAAAATTATTTATTACAAGTCTAAATATATCATTTTTTCTTCTCTGCTTATCATCTTTACACCATTTATTCAATAACCTTGTCCATTTTCATATTTTTTTATTGACTATTTGATGGTAAGTTACATTTTTATTCACTTTAAGCTTGGATATCAGGTCAGTGTTTGTTTTTTAAATTTACATATTTGTATCTATGTCTCACCCTGTTTATGGTAAATAACTGTTATTTTTAAGTATCCTTTAATATCTGATGAACCTGTGCCTTTTATTTTAGAAGACTGTTTTACTTTTCTTTTATAAAATTATACTCTCCACTTTGCAAAACAGCTTTCCCTCATCAAAATGTAGCTAAGAAGAAAAAAAAGCATATGGTTACCTGTAATCTTGCCAATCATAGATAACCACTGTCAAACTTTTGGAGCAAATCCTTTAATACTATCTCTCTCATTGTTTTGGAAACAAGGTATGATTATGCTATACTATAACTAGCCCTTAATATTTTTTGTCTGTAAATATGTTACTATTTTATTCGCTTTATAGTATTCACCTGTCTTTTTCAAACATGAATTTTGTCAAATATTAAAAATTTTCCCATTACAAACACTTACCTTGATGGCCCCTTTTCAGTGTGTCTGCATTATTTATTTATTGTTCACTTCAGAGATAATGTGTCAATATATAAGATTTTTACATTACAGATAAAGCTGGCCTTTCCTTTGAGCAGCATTCCTGGCTTCAGTTCCTTTCCAATGTTAACCAATTTACTTATTCTTCCATATCCTTTTATGTGCATCTATAACATACCTATGGTAATGTGGGTAGATTCAGAATACCTTAGAGCCTTATTGTATGGATTCTATAATTGTGCCTATCACATAATAAGTGCTTAGTGAATGTTACCTATCACTATTGTCTTCTCAGGCTTCATTTTTATTATTTATAGGAAAACTTTTAGCCATGACCCATATCTTAACTCTACAATAAAGACCTCACAATGGAGACAGACATTCATTTAAATGAGTGTAGGGAAAGTTTGACTGACACGCATTCCTTGTTGAATAAGAATATTTGCTGCTAGGCACAGTGGATCACTTGAGGCCAGGAGCCTAGCCAACATGGTGAAACCTCATCTCTATTAAAAATACAAAAATCAGCCAGGCATGGTGGTGTGTGTCTGTAGTCCCAGCTACTTGGGAGGCTCAGGCACAGGGTTTGCCTGAACCTAGGAGGTGGAGGTTGCAATCAACCAAGATCATACCACTGAACTCTAACCTGGGTGACAGGGCAAGGCTCTGTCGCAAAAAAAAAAAAAAAAAAAAAAAAAAAAAAAGAATAATTTGTCCTACAGAAAAATGTAAGACTATTAAGTGTGAGAGACACACTATAAAATTTGTACCAGGGTAGAAATAAAAGGCTATGTCAGTTTTCTCCATTGAAATCCAAATACTAGTTCAGTATTCTGCATGATTCTTTGCTGAAAAATAAAATCCAGGCAGGCACAGTAGCTCATGCCTGCAATACCCCCACTTTGGGAGTCTGAGACCAGCCTGGGTGACACAGCAAATCCCTGTCTCTACAGAAAATGTTTTTAAAAGAATGAGCCAGGCATGGTGACCTCCAGCTACTCAGGAGCCTGAGGTGGGAGGATGAGTTGAGCCAGGAATTCAAGGCTACAGTGCGCTATTATTGTGCCACTCCACTGCAGCCTGGACAACAGAATGAGACCCTGTCTCTAAAAATAAATGGGTAAATTAGTTAAAATCAAAACAAATTATTTTTTTAAAATAAATGGTGCTGAGTAGACTATATAAGGCATTAAGGATCTGTTATATACAGAAGAAATTTTACAGCTCTGAATTCATTCATTAGAATATTAGAGAAATTGTAAATGAAGAATCCAAGCATATAACCCAATAAAAGAATAACTACAACAAAAACTCTAAGGATAATGGGAGAGAAACATAATTTTAGAAGAAAAAAGCTAGATCAATAGTCACAACATGCTGTTTTGAAAAAAAAAATAGTAGCAGTTCTCATAAATAAACATATAGGAACATGAATGCAAAAAAGACATTAGAGACTTTATGGGGTACAGGTTGAGTGTCCTTAATTTGAAAATTCAAACTCTGAAATGCTCCAAAATCTAAAACTTTTTGAACCCAATGTGATGCTCAAAGGAAATTTCAGACTTTTGAATTAAGTATGCTCACCTGGTAAGTATAATGCAAATATTCCTAAAACACTTCTGGTCCCAAGCACTCTGGATAAGGGATACTCAGCTTATATTTATTACTATTGCCTGTAATCTTTTAATAATTATTTTGGGCTGGGCGCAGTGGCTCACACCTGTAATCCCAGCACTTTAGGAGGCTGAGGTGGGCGGATCACAAAGTCAAAAGATCTTGAGACCATTCTGGCCAACATGGTGAAACACCATCTCTACTAAAAATTAAAAAAAAAATTTAGCTGGGCATCGTGGCGCATGCCTGTAGTCCCAGCTACTTGGGAGGCTGAGGCAGGAGAATTACTTGAACCCGGGAGGCGGAGGTTGCAGTGAGTAGAGGTCAAGCCACTGCACTTGAGCCTGGTACCCGGTGACAGAGCAAGACTCTGTCTCAAAAAAAAAATTATTATTTTGAATTTTAAAATGAACATTTTTAAAAAAGGCTTTTAATCACCAGAACTGACTGCAAGTTGCATAGAAATGGGTATTATATAAGGGATATAAAGCAAAAACTATCTATATTGGCTGGGGAAAACCACTGTGGCAAAAGTCTCTCTTAAAGATATGGGTTGATGATTTGGAGTTTATTATTTTAATTAAATCCTGTTTATGAATCTTTTTCTATACACAGAACTTTGAGTCTCAAATGTTTGTGTGTGTTTCATGCCTACAAACTCATGGAGATATTCTCTTTCTTCCCCTAGAAGCTTTATTTCACCTCTCACATCAAGTTTTGGTGTACAATATGAGGTTTAGCGAGTCAAGTTTAATTGTTGATATTCCTACAGATATCCAAGTTAATCCAGCATTATTTATTGAAAAGTAAATTCTTTCCCCCAGATTATATTCCATTTCTACAAACCTCTTGTCACCTTTCCTGATACCATCCTGAACCTAACCATGGCTATATGTTACTTAGATGTTTATAACTTCCCAATTTGTTTTCGTAGCCTTTAGGGCATTCACAACAGCATAGCCACAGTGATTCAGATGCTATCACTTCTATGCTCAGTTTCTGGAAAATTTGAGCAAAAAGTATAGTAGCATCGGATTATAACCCAAAGTATAAAATAAATATCCATGCATTCATTTTTTTTTTTTTTTTTTTGAGTCGGAGTTTCGCTCTTGTTGCCCAGGCTGGAGTGCAATGGCGCGATATTGGCTCACCGCAACCTCCGCCTCCTGGGTTCAGGCAATTCTCCTGCCT